ATAATAATAATATTAGTAATACAATTATTATTATTAATAATAATATAATAATAATAAAAAAGAAACTGATGTATTTAGTATGACCTGTTAACATCCATGTGTCACATTGCATTTTCAATTCATTTTCATTGATTGGGATCCTTGTAAATGCACCAAAAAACACATAAAATTGTGCAAAAATGTTCACGCATGCACTGGCTGAGCCCAATGTGAATGAGCCTGAGTTATCACAGGACTGCATCTGGCCTACATATTGTTACAGGTAGAAGCAATGTTATGATGTCTCCCCCTAGTGGGAAAATAGGACATTACATAAGACAAAAAAAACATGGTGTGACCCCAGTAACATTATTAGGAAATCCCTATCACCCTGCCAGCATGGCACAAGACATCTTCTCAGAGCACCTTTTATTTTATTTTTTAACAGAGGATTTGTTGCCAAAGCATCTGCACTGTATCAGACATATTCTATGTTTATGACACACTGTGTTAATGATCCCAGCCTACAACATTATTTATCACATGCATAAGAGCAATGTAATCCATGAGACCAACCTGTGGCAAGGCATCCTTGTACGTAACAAAAGGGGTGTATTTATGGAACGTTTCCAGAGTGAACAGTTCTGCGAATGTTTGCGTTTTAGATTCGCACTGCGTTATGGCCATTAGATGGAACTTAGTGGCATAGCAATTTCCACAACACAGGCATCACTTGTACATGCATCGATGAGATGCAGCGCTATTGACTCTAAATGACACCACAATACACCTTGTCAAAGGACATGCGTTTCAGCTCAGTGAACTAACATGCATGGCCTAAAAATGGTGCACCATCTTTTGGCAGCACAGTGCACCGCATGTTAGTGCATCGGCTAGGTGTGTCAAGTATTTTACATTATTTACATCATTTTAGTGGTATTATAAAGAAGACAATTTACAGAATACAATTTGGAAGAGGAGACTGAGGATTTATAAAGTGCCTTTGTTCCCAGACTGAAAGAATAAAAACAAACAACAATGCACCGAGGTTCTTCTAGGATATGTGGCAGATTTTTCAAAACAATAAAAAAGTGCTGCTGTTGTTTCTAGTAACCATAATCTAAAATCTTCAGGATAACGGAGATTGCTATGGAAACAGTTCCAGGCTTTTATCAGTTTTGGGCCCCTCAATTCCATCTCAGCTGGGGATCCATAGACTGATCCCCTACTATATCAGATCAGAAATGGATGTCTGTTCAATTCAGTTTTTTTTCTCCATCTTGTGATAGCGTAAGAACGGACCCATGTAATCCCTCAATCTTGTGATAGACCAAGAACGGGCCCATGTAATCCCTCCATCTTGTGATAGCGTAAGAGCGGACCCATGTAACCCCTCCATCTTGTGATAGCGTAAGAACGAACCCATGTAACCCCTCCATCTTGTGATAGCGTACAAATGGACCCATGTAATCCCTCCATCTTGTGATAGCATAAGAACAGACCCATGTAATCCCTCCATCTTGTGATAGCGTAAGAACGGACCCATGTAACCCCTCCATCCTGTGATAGCGTAAGAGCAGACCCATGTAATCCCTCCATCTTGTGATAGACCAAGAACGGACCCATGTAATCCCTCCATCTTGTGATAGCGTAAGAGCGGACCCATGTAATCCCTCCGTCTTGTACTTGAGGAACAATGGACCCATGTAACCCATCCATCTTGTGGTAGACAAGGAATGGAACCATGTAATCCCTCCATCTTGTACTTGAGGAACAATGGACCCATGTAATCCCTCCATCTTGTACTTGAGGAACAATGGACCCATGTAATCCCTCCATCTTGTGATAGACCAAGAACGGACCCATGTAATCCATCCATCTTGTACTTGAGGAACAATGGACCCATGTTATATCTCCATTTTGTGACAAGGAACCAGTCCATGTATTCCTTTCATTTTGTGATGGAGGAAGAACAGGCCCATGTAATCACTTTGTAGCCAGATATGTGTTTATATCCATGTACATCAGGCCAAACTTACACCTGATGCAATCTTAATGCATTTGGTCCAACGAATTTGAGCAAACCCAAATATAAACGGTTGCACATCAATTTACATCCTGCGCCATAGGGTTATATCGCAGTCCATTTTAATAAACGCTATTTAGTTTACGGTCTTGCAGATGCCTCAACTTCAATACTATCTGAACCACTGACCAGAAAAAGCAAATATAAGACATTTTCTTTCGTTTTCTACATGCTGGTTCTCGGTCAGCAAAGTGTTGCAGACAGTGGCAGCCAGGCAACTGGCAATTTCAGCATCAAGTCTGCAATGGCATCATCCTATTCATTTTTTAATGGCAGATTTCTGCAGTTAAACCCCAGGCCCCGCCCCCCTCTTCCTCCACCAATCAATTCTCAGCTGCTGCGGAACCTGCAATTCCCGCCAGTACCTTCTCAGAGGGACCCTACACGTGCGCCGTGCTGTCAGCATACTCCGCCCACTCCTGGTTTGCGGGCAGCCCCGGGGAGTTTGCGCCAGAGGGCTGGTCACGTGGCAGGGTTTCCTCCTCTGCTGCTGTTGCGATTTGAGCTCCGTGCGGGAGGGACGGGAAGCGGCAGCCATGCTGAAGAAGCTGACAGTGGAGCAGATCGCCGATTGGTTTACCATCGGCAAGGAGGTGTCCGGGGTCAAGTTACTGGGCACCTGTGAGGAGCCGAAACGTGCGCCTGAGCCCGGGGAAGATGAGGAGCAGGACAGCTGTCAGAGGGCCATGGGGTACGTGAGGCTCAGGTGGAAGATGGAGTACCTGGGGACCCCGGGCTGGCCTTGCACATGAGGACGGCTATATGCACGCACACATTGAGGCCTAGGGCCTGTCACTACATTTGCTTCATATGTACTTGTAATATGGTAGATATGTTTGGGGACCTGTATAGGCCCTGGGGTGGGTATTGCAGTCAACAGGATCAATTCACAAAGCTGACACCAGGATAAGGATTCTTGTATTCGTTTATTAAATAGGATACAGCACCACTGACATTAGTAACGTGATGATGTGTATCCCTTCCCAAATCCTCTCCTAATGCCTCTGGATACACCCCACAGTCAGCGTTCGTTTCCAGCAGCCCGCACGTTTACCGCAATGCCCCCTGCCCAGAGCGCAGGGGATCGCATATATAAAGTCTCCTTGAATTCTGGGGTGGCAGGGAGCGTAGCAATGCCATTCAAGTCAATGGCACTGCCGACATGCCCCCCTACTGCAGTAAAAAAATAGTGTATGTGTGATTTTTTTTTTTTGCGATCCCACTGCACTAGAATGCAGGGCATTTTAATACCATGCGTTCCTGTGCGGCCTATCGTACTGCGCGCGGGGGAGGGGTGTGTGTGTGTGTGTGTGTGTGTCTGCAGTGCCTGTGACTTTTAATGGCACTGCCACAGTCCAGAATGCAAGGAGACTATATATGCGCTCCGGGCATGGGACATTGCGGGAGATGTGCAGGCTGGTGGAAACAAGCCCTGACTGGGGGGTGAACGCCGATAATCATGCCTCCGGATATACCCCACAGTGACTGGGGGTGAACGCCGGCGATGATGCCTCCGGTTACTGCGACTATCACTGCATTTTAGAACAATAATTTGATTAAATAGAGAAGGGAGACAGGCAGCAGTGCTACTCTATTACACGGCTAGTTGCTGATGTTTACCCCCAGAGCACTGGGAGATGGTTGCTCTGGGCTTTATCTGGTGTCATTAAGCCTGTGTTCACACCTCCATTCACACACAGCGGTATCCTAAATAGCGTGTTGCTATAGCCGGAACATGTGGCATTTTCCCAGAAAATTGCATTTGGCCTTTTTTGCGGGACGCGCGTTTTCGTACCATGTGGAAGCCGCCCTAGTGTGAACAACACACATTGGTAAGCATTATTTTTTTATGTTTGCGTGGAAAATCGCTAATGTGGGAACGGAGCCTTACCCTTGTAGTAGGTTCCTCCCTGCACGGTGAGGGTTAACTGCTCGTTAGGTCAAGGGGGTACAAGAGGAGGCATTACTTGCCTTAGCCCCTCTCTGGTGTGCTCTTTTTCTCCCTGATGTTCCAAGCTCTGGGTGCTCCCTGAGTGCCCTCACGTACAATATAGTGCTATTAACCCTGCATTGTATGTGGGGGAGTGGAGTGTGCGCCCTGGGCAGGTTGTGCCCTTAGGGAAGAGGCTTCGTGGGACTTGTTGCACAAATGGAGGGAGACTGCCAGAGCAAGGAGTAAGGTATTACTGCTTTTCTCTGCACCACCAGACGTAGTCGACCTTTACCCCCTTTGACTAAACATTACATCAGCAGGCACCTCTGCATGCTGCTTTGAAATCCTAAACATATTTTTATTTTACCTACAATTTATTTTTCCACTTCCTGGTCCCCTTGGGCACACATGATGTAATCATGTCCAAGTGTTGCATCCTGGGAAGGTTACATCAGCAGAGCATTGCAGGGATATCTCAGGGAAAGGCATTTTCCTCCCCTAAGATGATGTGCACGGTTACATGTCCTAGTCACATGTGCCAGAGTTCCAGGAAGTAAAGGAAGATGGATTCTTCTGCCCTTTGTAAAAATGGCCACTGAGAGAAGACTGGGGAAGAAAAGAGAAATAAGGTATGCACAGAATACAAAGCCGGCAATTATCTGTCTATGTTTGTAGATTGTCATTGCAAATGATTTTTAAAGGCGTCTTTGTTGTTATTTTGAAGATATGAGTAAAGTTCCTCCTTTAAAGAAGAACTCAAGGTGAAACGTTTATTAACCCTTGCAGTGGGGCTACCCCTGCATTGCAAGGGTTTACTGCATGTTTTTGTCTATGTGCTACAAAAGTTTGTACTCGCTTGATCTTAGACCGGTCCTTTCAGCCTCTCTCCCCCTCCGCTGCAGCTATGGTCCCATAAATCATCACGTTCTATACACTGTGTAGAGATGTGAGGATGCTGAGGAACATTACAATGCTGCAGTGGAGGAGAGAGAGGATTCGGGGACCGGAGCAGCAGGGAGTCGACACTGCAAGGGTTAATTAAAGTTTTGCCTGGAGTTTTCTTTAATGAGTGGTTAACCCTTGCAGGGCGGAGCCATGAGTTTTGTTGTGGTTCTTTTTTGTCCTGTACCTGAAGTGGGGCACTCCTGTGCTGCAGGAGTTGGGGCCCATTCACAGCAGCAATATAAGTTATAATTTGTGCCCGCTGGCATGTAATAATAAAAAAAAAAACATTGCATGGTTTACTTTTTAATTATTTTTGTGTCCCAATGAGATGATTAGATTTTCATTCATCCTTAGCTGTGCTGCATAAAAATGCTGCTTGCCCTACTTTTTTGAGCACACCGCTGAAGCTTAGTAAACTGAAATAATAGGACATAAGGCAAATTACCTTGTGTATTGGTACTGCGATGGGCAAACTACCCCGACTCATGGTGTGAATGTTCACAATACAGATTTATGCAGAGCAACGCACAAAAATGTGCATTGACCCTTGAAGTGGCCCGTACAGAAGGAATGCTTTAAAAAAAAAATGCATTGACACAGGAAATTGCAGTGTAAGATTTTTAAGGCATGGCAGCATGCATGCATTTTCTGTTAGAATGCTTTCCCGAAAAAGAAAACATTTCCTTAAAGGAGAACTATGAGGTGAGTGCTTTTCACTCACCTCATAGTTCTAGCCGACCTGTGACAATGAGACTCGTCACAGGTCGGCTCAGTAGATCGGGAGGTGAGCGTACACATACCGGCGTTCGCTCACCTCTCGATCCTGTCACGGCTCTCTGCCGTGACAGGGGAGGGGCTGGATTCCCCTCTCCCCGCTCCGATCCTCCAGCGCGGACTGGAGGAACGGACGGGGGAGGGGGCGGGTACAGCTGGCTTTGCCTCTAGATAGGCAGAGCCAGTTGTCACTCGCGCAGCTGGGCGGATCCGGACATCATTGTCGGGATCCGCTTCAGCTGCGGCGTCTCAGTATACCACAAGCTGTAGCTTGCGGTATACTGAGCTTAAGGTGACGGGAGGAAGCTAGTTTGTGTCCTTCCGTTACCCTAAGGAGAACTATGGGGAAAAGCCTTAACCCCATAGTTCTCTAAGTGTTTAGATCCTATTAACCCTTTTCCCTGCCAAGGACTCTTTTTCTCATTTTATGCACACACAATGCACATTTTGGGCCTGAAAATTACTTATCCCCCAAACATCATATATTTTCAGAAAGCAAAGATACTGTAGAATAAAATGCTGGCAGTTGCAAATTTGTACGACATTAGCGATTTTATCAAACACAAAAATTGAGTTAAAAAATGCACTTGCGTTAATTTTAGTGCCCAAAAACTCAATATAATTCCCATTTTTTTTTTTAGATATAATCGATGCGGGTATGACAAGTAAATACCCAACATGCCCAGTTAAAAAAATTGTGTGAGTCTGTGAAACGGCATCAAAATACGGTACCCCAAATTGTCTATAGGCGACGCTTTAAAGGCCCGTACAGGTCATCAGTCTAGAGATGCCTGTAAATATTGGCCCTAGAATTATTGTTCTCTGGCGCTCGCGGCGATACCTAACATGCAGCGTCATCGTCGTTTGTGTATGTATGCGCCCCAAAACACGCGTTTGCATTAATGTGCGCACACTCGCAGGGGAATAACGTTTAAAAATATATTTTTATATTTATTTTATTTACTTTTTTTTATACTTAATTGCTATCATATAGCTTACAATGTGATAGCATATTAGTAGTCACAGGTACTCTTTTTAAGGTGACACTAAAGGTCCAAAGAACCCCTAGTGTTACCTTTCCACTCTAAGCTATTGGAGCACAGATTGCGCTCCAATAGCTTATTGCTAGGCTTCTGCAGCCGGACCATCACAGCTACTTGACCGGAAGTGATGCAATCGGCATAGCTTCTGCTTTTCTTAAGGTACATTGCTTAATCATTCATGCAATTTTATCATTTTTATTTAAATACATCTGTTGTAGGTACATATCTTATAGTTGCATACAAATGGAGGGACACGGACTATACACCGTTACATTGGTCTGACCTACTGGTACAAAAAATAGTTTCTCTATAGGGTCATACATTGGATATCAGGTATTTTAAAAATAGCTACAGGAACTGGCTAAAAATAGCATTGCTTTGAAAGTTCTGGTTGTATACTTATAAAATATGCATAGGAGTCTTAATGCACATTGCATTCACTTGAAAAAATATCTGCTTAGTTGGAATTTTGTTTTTCTTTTGTAGTTGGAAGCAAATGGATAATCAGCGGATGAATGTACTTTTGTGCACCAGTGTCCCAAATGCCTCCACTCACCCTCATGATAGCTTGCCATAAGCGCAGTCCTCAGATCGAGTGATCATCAGTTTCAATATCGATCTATACCTGGGCCAGGCACCACATCTTCCCTGGGAAATGCCCTAATACTATGTACTAGGGATGCACCAATACTAGTATCGGTGCTGATAAGAGTATTTGGGCGAGTGCTCGCCCCATATGCTCCGATACCTTCCCCGATGCCGGAACTTCTGGTCAGAGGAAGATTTCCTCTGGCATCTTATAAAATATGCATAGGAGTCTTAATGCACATTGCATTCACTTGAAAAAATATCTGCTTAGTTGGAATTTTGTTTTTCTTTTGTAGTTGGAAGCAAATGGATAATCAGCGGATGAATGTACTTTTGTGCACCAGTGTCCCAAATGCCTCCACTCACCCTCATGATAGCTTGCCATAAGCGCAGTCCTCAGATCGAGTGATCATCAGTTTCAATATCGATCTATACCTGGGCCAGGCACCACATCTTCCCTGGGAAATGCCCTAATACTATGTACTAGGGATGCACCAATACTAGTATCGGTGCTGATAAGAGTATTTGGGCGAGTGCTCGCCCCATATGCTCCGATACCTTCCCCGATGCCGGAACTTCCGGTCAGAGGAAGATTTCCTCTGACTGGCCGTGCCGTAGGGGAGCATGGAGCCGGCTTCCGGTACGATCAGGAAGCTGGTTGGTGAGTAATGGCCCGACTTCCTGATCGGCCTGTTTGGCCAGCTTGATGCTGATTGGCTGGGAAGCCAGCTTCCCAGCCAAACAACATTGAGCCAGCTTCCCGGGCAGTCAGGAAGCAGGGCAGCATGTCATTACCTGCCGTCCCGCTTCCTGATTGCCCAGAAAGCTGGCTCCATACCAGCAGAAGCACTGGTATCGGCGAGTACCGAAAGCACAGTATCGGATACCGAAAACGGTATCTGTGCATCCCTACTATGTACATCAGGCGATGACATTTATTATGGAAATCAGGAGCCAGTGCCATAGACAACGAGAGAAAACCTTGAAAGATGGGCACCAGCTTTATATTTTATGGAGTATTGGCTGCCAGCCTCCTAGGATTTGTCTATCCCTGATGTACGTGCAGCTCTTTACCATACAGAGACCATATTTAAAGACACAGATCTTCTTTGTAACCACATGTGTGCAGCAGAGCAGTGCCTGGCGTAGGCTCCAACATCAGAAGCCAGTTGTCTGATCCCTTTTGCTGTAATATGGTATATGAGGGTGAGAGGTGACCTTTTAGCCACTGTTGCATGAAAGTGCACTTCATTCCTTAAGAGTAAACGCTTTCCAATTTAACCGGCAGGATAGTAGTATGGCAAGTTCCAGATTCGGTTTGAGAAATTTGGGAACAAACTCTGTGTATTTCTGTCGACATAGCTGGACACCGTTGGGATTTCCTCTTTGGGTGAGTTAGTATCGCCGGACACTGCAAAGTTTACAGGGCAGTTTGAGTTCCACAAATCCATCAGCTTCACCTGTTGACTCTCTCTCTCTATGGAAGTCAGGAAATCTTTCAGGACTTGTTTGAATATGTAGACAATTTCCCAAGGCAGTACGTCATTTTCTGCCAGAACTTCTCGAAACCTGGAGGCAGACAAAGTCTATTTTATACTTTATGCAGCTTCTAGTGATGTTCATGCATTTGGAAAGATGTAGACAGTCATGCAAAGTGTTAAAGCCATTCAGATAAAAGGCACCAATAGAAGCTTTTAAAGTAACACTTAACTCTCTGTTGTATGTGTGTAGTCCATTGCTCCCCGTGATGGACTACAATTTCATGTTTAGATTTCTAATTTGTGTTAAGATTGTAGTCCATCACAGGAGTGAGCTTGGAGCGGTTTTTACTTTACAACACGCAGGGACTATGGGGAACAAAAGTAGCCCCCCTCCAGAAGGAAGGACAGTGTCAGCACCAATTTAGAGATGATTTGAGGATCTACAGCCGAGTGATGCACAAATATACATTTTTGTTAATAGTTAAGGTACTAAAATGCATTTTTAACTCCTGAGTTTAGTGTCACTTTAAGGGACCATAGGCTAAATATTTAGCAACAGGTGTAGTATTAGCATGGCATGATCTTATCCGAATCTGGCTAATATTTAGGGAACTAACCTGCAAGTTATTGTGAAGGTTTCTTGTATGTTTGCAACAGTTTCCCTGCAGTAAGGCTAGTGATGTTCTGCTCTCCTCCTCCGTAGCATGCTTATAAAAATATATGTTTTTATGGTTGTATTGTTCCCACACATCTGACACATTTGGATGTCAAGGGTTCACTGAAGTTGCATTTGCTTGTCTCCTGGAATTAGCCCACTCGCACCTCAATTTTAACTTGTTATGCAAAAATTTATCATGCTAAATGTATAATACATTACAACTTTTTGTTAGAGCATTGAGTTAAGTATTGTCATTATTATACAGGAGATGTATATGTTCTCACCAACAGTTGGTGCAGCGCTATACAATATAAGGAAGACATTGCAGTTACAGTACAAATCAAGGCGAGATGGTAAGAAGGGCCATAGGCTAATCTTGGTGCACTTTTTCAGAAGGTCTGTTACCAGGCTGGTTGCACAGGTTCACAGATTTTACATTCAAGGGAATCTAAATGGATAGACGTATGGAATCCTCCACTGATGACTTGGTTTTTAAAGCTGCAGGAACTGGGACTGTCATCCTGCTGCTGGTTTCATTACCTAGTGCTTATCACTGATCTAGAACAGAAATGCAGCCACTGAAGTCTCTACACCTGTTCCGGTAACTTTCTAGGTACTAACAGCTCGTTCACACCTGAACGTTTTGTAGCGCGTTCTACGCTCGACGAACGCTCTACAAAACGCTCAAAAATATAAATCCCATTGTATTCAATGGTCTCGTTCCCACCTTGGCGTATTTCCGCCCGTCCCTAACGCTCTACAAAACGGCCCACGCCTGAAAAGGTACAGGTACTACTTTGGGCCGTTTTGTTGCGCGTTTCCATTGGGATACAGCCAAGTAGCCTTTGGAAACGCGCGACGGTCGCGTGACTTTTTTTTTTCCGCGAATCGCGGTAAAAAACGCGCGACAGACGCGCATATGCAATACGCCTAGGTGTGAACGAGACCTAAAGCCAATCCGAGAGTCACTAAAACCATGCTAGTGTTGACACTGCCTACATTTTGTCATTACAGTTTCCCTAGAAAAGGCCAGTGTCCCCTCACCACCTTCCTCTTGCTAAGCAGACTTGTTTTAGTCGTGATATAGTCTACAATCTCAAATTTGTGATTTTTGATATTTGGCAGATAAACACTCCCCCCTACATATTTTTCAGACGTTATTGCTACACATGCATTCACAGCAACCCCAAACTGATCCTATGCACCCTCTCTACTCTTCTCTGTATCCTTAGGTTTGCTTAAAATTTAAAAAAAGAATCTATACAAAGAATACAAAAAAAGTGTTTCCCTGATAAATCATTTACATTCAACTAATTGTCTTGTAAACCACTCGTTTTAACATGTATGCTGACATCTGTTTACTGGTGATACAGTTCTGTCATGTTTTGTTTAGGTTCCCTAAATGAGCTCATGAATGCAGTATATTTTTGGGCATTACGAGTCACTGCTCTACCAATAATTTTTATTTTCCTGTGATATACCTGCTGAGCACTGTCCCTGTGTGACATGGCTGAATCTGAGAGCACAGAACTTCCAGTTGCTTTTGTTCTGTAACGGGGATGCTTGGCTTCAAGCTGTAATCGTTTCTCAGCCAGTTATAATCCGCTCCCGTCTTCTGCGTCCTCTGCTCGTTTTCAATCTCGTGCAGTAACCTTTCACGCTCTCCTAGGTGCCATTGCAGCTCCCTTAGCAAAGTCTTCGTTACAACTTCCGACCCAGGGTACCCAGCGGACTTGTCAGAATCGTTCTTCGACCATTTCATCCAACTGAAAAATGGCATCTTAATGCTTTCCAAAGCTGAAACAAAATGTTATAAGTTCTCGGTCATAAGAGATATTCAATGTCATTGTGCCAGCTATTTATGAAATGAGAAATGAACAATACTAAAAGCAGTGAGCAGTTTGATGCTTACGTATGTGTGCATTATAAAAATATGCTAGTTAACCAGCCACCATGTTTTAAAAAAAAATGTTTTAGCGATTTGGCTGCCTCTGGTATCAAAGCATCTTCTTAATTTCTAACTCCTTCTGCGTCATTACTAATATAAACAACAATAAAAAAAAAAACACAGCCTTGAGGGTGAAACTTCTTTTATAATAGCCAAGCCAAGTGGACAAATTGGGCACAAAGCTCGTCTTTGTTAAACTCAAGACACTAAAAAAATATGAAAAGTCTTTGAGGTTGACCTAACTTGCAAGTGGTTCATCTTTTACTAAAAGTACATATACACAGCATTCAGTTCATGAAACACCTTGTGTAGCTTTAGATAAATCTATAATACAAAAAAAAAGTAGAATTGAAGCTTACCAGTTTTTTAACTCGTTTAACTGTTCGCTGAATATTTCCGTGTTGACTTCTCCTAAAAAATTATATATATTTATATTTAGAAAGTCTTCAGTGGATGCCTGGGAAGGTATAATGCAGTATCATTAGTGTCCAGGGGATCTTGTCCCAATCAAAACTGTCTGTGGCTCTGTATAGTGATGGAGTAGCGATGAAATCCTGTTGAGTGCATCTGAGAAGATTATGGACAGCTGTGTATGGACTGACTGCAGCTTGCAGATGTGGCTGCTCTATAAAGTTGAGCAAGTCACATGATGTTTTTGTGCCCCCCCCCCCGTCTACATGTCACTTGCATTTTAAGTCACTGTAGGTAACTTAATATAGAATACGTTCATTTAAGCTATACCTCTCCAAAACATTACGTGCAAGCTACCGCTCTAAAACTTGTTGACAAGATCAAATATTATATTTTTGAACTTGTTTTATTTGCAGCAGCTGAATCATTTTACCTATTTTTAGGAATAACATGCAAGAATTGTGTATCTGAGTCTGCCAGTTTAGATGCGTGATACACAGCAACAGTTGAAGAAAAGCATATTAAAATGAAGTCAAATGGATGCATCTGTATATAATCTCATGAAGACAAACGCTAAAGCAAAAAAATTAGTTGTTTAAAATGAGATCTTACCAATATTATGATGTGAAAGGGCTAGAATTTGATCCAGTCATTGCCTTTTGGTTCCGTTGGGGTAGTATGTAGAAGGAGACACTGGTTCATGATGATATTCTGTGAACTAAAGGTCTCTGCAGCAGTCTTCCCCCCCCCCTCCTGTTTTTTCCCCTCTTCCGTTTCAGTTATCTAGTCTCTTTTTATTAGTCTGAACCCCAGGCATGAGGAGACAGCTCCACTCCTGACTTCCTTCCGAGATTACTGGTTTTACAGCTTGGAATCTTCTCAGCATTGTTGCATATTTTTTTTTCATTCCCAGAGATGCTGAATTGTTGGCTAACAGAGGCTGTGTTAATGTGCCCTAGATGCCATACAACATAACACATGATGTGCATGGCACTTATTAAAGCAGATATTATACGCTGAAAAAATTCAGATGTCAACATTAATAAGGCTCAGCTGGAAGCTTTTCACATTGCATTGTATATGGTACTATGAAGGTCTGAAGGAGCTGGGCGCATAATGACAGAACTGTCTTTGCAAATTTTAAGACCAATTGAAAGCTTAACTTCTTACCACCTATTTTATTTTATTATATTGATGTAATTTTTTTTTTTGTCTGAAAAATTATTCATAGTAAAATTTAGAGATGGCCACCTACATTTTGAGTGGATTATAACATTCGCAAAGCTTTTCCTTGTATTTTCTTATATATGCAAGCTAAGATCTTGTTGATAAGTCTGGGTCATCGGGAGCATTGGCTGGCTTTTCAAGCCTTTCAATGAAAATCAACATAACGGCCAGTGTTGCCCACGCAGGGGCATTACTATCTGGAAGCAGAAGGATTTTTCAGCTTGATTACTCTCTTCCATAGAAGAACTGAAGGTCCTTAGCTCTGCATCTGTAATGTTGCTAAAGACGGAGGGCAAAGTGTGTGTTTTCTGTGTTTTGTGTTTCCTTTTTTTGATTGTTGTGCAAATTTAAAACTTTCTTATGGGTAGATTTGTCTGTGCATGGTACCCTTAAAAGTACAACACCATTCAAATCTCAGAGTCTCAATATTTTCCACATTTATACAATGCTTAATGCATGCCATACTTGAATGGGAAATTGTGGCACAGAAGTGCAATTCCACCTTTTCATATTATTCTTTTTTTTTATTTAAATCCCATTTTTCCAGTAAAATTAAAGACAACTGGCACATGCACTGTATACAAAAATAGAAAATCATCACTGAGGGGGGGGGGGTTGGAGTTTTACTTTGGGGAGGAGGAAGGCAT